TAATCTGTGATACACATTCTTTCTATATCTGCACATTTTTCCTCGAGCCATTCTATTTTTAGCCTTGATTGCATTTGCTCTGTATTTCTTTGTGTAGTGTTCTATATTTTGTTCTGCGTCTTAGCATTGCTTTTTGTTTCCTTTTCATCATGTAGAAAATCTCATCTTTCATCGATTCATTGCTTTTCTTTTTCGTCCATTTTCCTTTGAGATGATCTGATTTTCTCATGTTACTAAAACTTCTCTTAATGTGTCTCACTTTGAGCTTAGTTTTTTTTTATTTTCTATATCCAACATGAACATATTTTAAGATTATTCCCACCGATAATAAATCCTAGTATAGTCTCCAGCGTCCTTTTGATATCTTCTTTCTGCTAACAGTCACGTGATAACGGTCATGTTGCGCATGTCGCTCCTTACCGGGGCGACGAGTTAATTCTAGTACACTTAACCCTCTAGTCGTCGTTAACTTTCATAGTTTTATTAATGCCATGATATTTCTCAGAATTGTGAGAAGACTTATTTCTTGCTGCCTTCACCACAGTGAGCATAAATATTGCTTTCCTTATTCTACTGACTTCGACGAACCCGCACTTTTCTTGTCCTATCACCGGTTTTATTCTGCTGCATGCTCTATTATAAGAATTTGTATGTTGAATTTTGATATATGACTCATTAGGCTAATTGCCCGATGGAATTAAAATCCGTTTGCATTGGGTTTCTTATGCAGCGTTATGAAAATAAATTTAGTTAGTGCTTCTGGTATATCGCCACTTTTGTGCATTTGATTTACTATTTCTTGTCTATCGCGAAATCATTTAAGTTTACTAGCAGCTCATTTACAATTCCGTCTGGCCCTGCCGCTTTTTTTCTCTTCTCTTTTGTCAGTAGAGCTTCCACATATTTTTTTAAATATTTCCAGCCGGTCGATATTTCTGTGTATTGACGGCTATTCTCCTTCCTCGTGGAATAGTTATCCGATATACTTGTGTTGTGCCCTGTTAAGGGCCAGAAAGAAAGACACAGAAAGAAGAAGGTAAGTTGAACAAATGTATTGAAATAACAGAACATATATACATATATAAGAGTGTTATTAGTCAGCAGATAGAAGTGTCCGTCCGAACTATCAGGTTACACTGCGTCCCGACTGTCAATATTTAACAGTCCCCCCACGAGGAATGTATGTGGCACAAGGCCGAGTTTAACGTGGGTTTCTCCTAGCCCGTAGGCTCGGCCAAAAATAATCCCTTAGAACCCGCATAAGCGGGTTCGGGATCTGGCTACCTCCCCGGACGAAACTTTGTCCTTCGGCAAATCTTCGTCTAGGTTCCTCTCTGCCAAGGCAGAGAGTTCGACAGAAGTCGCGCACAGTCAGAGACGATGTCCCGACTTCTGCACCTAGGAAGTCTCGCAGGTTAGTATTTATGAAGGAGGAGTTAATTTTAATGTAGATAAGTCACCATAAGAATTTTTTACAGTCTATGAAGCATTTTGATTTGATCATCGTTCCGTCCTGGGATTTTATGCATCCTGTTGAATGTCATGTCTCTTGTCCAGCTAGTTCAATTATTTTTTTTTAAATTTATATCTGCTTTATTTGTTTCTTATTTCCTTATGCAGTATGCTATATTTTTTCAATGTCTTGGCATTGTATTTTGTCTCCCTTTCCTCATGAAGAAAATCACAGTCATTCCTTTTTTTTTTTTAACTCAACATCTATTTTCTATTGGGATGATCCCGTTTGCTGATGTCAGGAAATCCTCTCTTGGTAGGTCCCACATCCAGTTTCTAGTTTCTATTGGTCTCTTGAATCTGCTTGTCACACTGTCGATATATTTCTTCTTCCGATTTGTGTTGTTAAAGGGTCCGTCGTATTGCAATATTGGTATTGCCTTTGACCTCTTTAGTATCTTTAGTGTTATTGTAAGTTTACATATAACCAGTGCGGGGGGGGGACACACCCACAGTCGTTATTTGGATAGGTTTTGCAGTATACCTCTTGCATTCATGAATCTCTTGTTGATAGCTATATAGCCGATTTCGTTTTTCGTTTCTCTTCCTGTACTTCTCTATGCCCATATTCATTTTGAGTTTTCTTAAAAGCAAATGCTGCCTCGTCATTCGCCGTACACAGTTGAAACCATTTTCCTCCGCGTTCGTTGGTGGGGGAGGGTCTTAGTCTGAATTTGAAAAATGTTCCAACATCCCTCTCGTTACCCACATTGGCATTCAGACCTCACACGACAATTATAATTTCTTGCATTAACTCCTGGCGTTGTCTAGCGTAGAGTAAAACTTTTCTTCTAAACATTGTCCTGTCAGTGCATAGATAACTATGATTGATAAGTTGAAAGGTTTTCCTTTTCGTTTAACGACAAGAATACTATCAGAAAATTGATAGTGTCCAGAGAGAAATTTCATCATGTATTTATCTAGTATCAATTCTACTCCTCTTTCATTTTTATCTCCACCTGCGTCTATAATACTGTGTTTATCACAGACAAAATCTCTATTTTTTGTTTCCCGTATCTATTTTTGCCGCTGTCTATATATTTCTTCTTCCGATTCGTGTTGTTCAAGGATCTGTCGTATTGCAATTTGGCTGCTGCTTTTAACCTCTTCAATATCTGTAGTGTTATTCTAAGTTTACATTAGTGCTGATTACTCCACAGTCACCATTTAGATTTTGCAGTGTACAACTGCATTCATGAATCTCTTGTTGATAGTTATATAATCGATTTGTTTTTTTTTTCTTTTATTTCTTCATCTTGGCTTCTCTATTCATCTTGAAACCGGGCGTTGGCTGTGAACTCTTACGTGAAATATGGGCTTCTATATGTCAGGCCATGCTGGACAATCTCCTCAAAGATGAAAAAGAGACGTAAAGTAATAGATATTTGGTTCTACGGAAGGATGCTGAGGATACCATAGACCAAAAACACGAGAAAGAGAGAGAATAGAAACAAAAAAAAAAATAATCGTATACTAAACTTCAGGAAAAGACAATTGAAATTACTGTGAAAAGTAATCAGGAAGAAGTGTTTGGAAAAGACAAAATATATTTAAACTTACGTCCTGATGCGTCACAGAAGAAGAATAATACAAGAAAAATATTTATGTGTACGTCGATAGGTGAAAAGAGAAAAGAGTTATAATTTTAGCGCTAGTCAGTTTTCGTTCCATGGTATCCTCAAATAGACCGAAAATGCATTAAACGACGGCATTAAAGTATCTGCGACTTTGCCTCCTTGCTGAAAGAGAAAATATTTTTTTAAAAATAGGAATATTTCTTTAATAATACCCATGGAAGCCCCATTTTTGTGACAAAATTTTTCTGACATTTTTCGTTGCTGCAGCGCTTACGGGAGGTGAGATACTTTCTTCTTTTGTAAGTCGTGTCCCTTTAAGATGTTGGCGAACATGACTCCTTAAAATTCCATGTCCTTTGTATCACATAAAAAATACCCTTTTTTATCTCTCTTAAACTTTTTTCACGCCATCCATTTACTGAAGCTCGTCTGGTATATCATCCTTTATTCCATCTATCTTGTGAGTATTAAATTTCCTAAGCCCTCTATCTTCATTATGTGTCCTAGAACTGTCTTTAACTTATGTTAAGTATGTGTCCCTTGTCTTTCTATTTTCTTGAAAACTACGACGCTGACCACAGTTTTCGTCTATTGTATTCTCTACAACCAAAACATTGTTCCTTTAATTTATCTGTGATGAGATTCTCAAGCGTTCACTGCTATAGAGAAGTACTGATATTAGTTAACACATCAGTAATTTTGATTTCTGCGGATTTTGTTTCTTAATACTTTGCTTAGCTTTTGGAAGGCATCTTTCGCTATCCCAATGCATATTCGGATTTCACTGTCGTACTTTCCGTCCATTGTTGATTTGACATCTCCATTTTGTAATTTGCATGTTTGACTATCCATTTTGCTAACATGCATGTATTCTGGTTTCTTGCATTTGATCTTTAGTCATTTATTCTCGCTTTCCTTATCTACCTTCTGCAGGTGTTGTTGAGGTTTCATTTATTTGTCTTCTTTTATATTTGAGTCATCTCAGTCAGTTATGTGCCACGGGTGATACACGCTGACTAGGCAGATTTATTTGCCGCAGTAGGTTGCCATTATTTTCTGCAGTAGACCAGTTGCCATCCAAGACAATAGAACCTGGTCTGTTCTGCTATCTACCCGTTCATCAATCCGAGCCGCTATCCATTACTCCACCGTACCCACCTCATGCGTCATCTTCATATATTTATAAAAACAATATATATGCGATATTCCTGCTCCTTGCTTGATGCAATTTTTCCGAATTTTCTTAACATCGGCTTCATTGATTACTAAGCGTTGTACATCTTCGCAATAGATGTAACGTTAGTAGTCTACAAAAATATGTGTTGGCATCCTTTATGTGAAATTGCATAAACGTTACAGCGTCGTTTCCTTAGCTATAATTCGTCGAGTCTGGACTGATTCATCTTATGTCTTCATGATTCGTTCGATCTGATTTAAAAAAACGGCATCTAAATGATTTAATATATATTTTAATTGTTTGTTATTTAAAAAAAAAAAAAAAAAAGACAAATTGATAAAAAAATAAAGTAGTTACACACAATGTCGCATTTTTCAAGAGGCCTGTCTGATTGCCAAACTCTGCTCGGGACGGCATCCTTCCTACGGGCTTGCATTTCATGAATTAAAAACAAAAATCCAACGTCGCTTTTTGCGTAGAACATTGATGAAAAGTGAAAAGGGTAATTTTCCGATCTATCTTGATTGTCAAAAGCTAAACTGTTATTTTACTTTCATAGATTTTTTTTTTGTCTATTTACAATCATTTACAGTTTTTTCTTTCTTATTAATTCAATTCTTGTCGCTTTGTTTTGGTGACAAGATGAGAGGCCCTGGGCTAATGGAATTAACATTTCGCCGACTAGAGTTTAAATCAATGAGTTTCTGTCTGCTAAGTAGACCAAACTGAAAGTATTAAGCAATGGTGGCTAGAAGGTAGGAACAAAAGGGCACGAGAGTAGAGGGGACAGGGGGTGAAATAAATAAAAAAAAGATTGGGGGAAACAAAGAATAATAAGTGAGGGAGTTGAAAAGGTAGGGGGCAGGAAGTAAAGAATCTGAATAGGATAAAAAAGAGGAAAACAAAGAGAAATGAGAGGGAAATGAAAAGAGAGAGGAAGGAGAAGGGGATAGTATTAGAAGGAAGGAAAGAAAGAGATAAAATAAAAGGGAATAAAATAATATGCAAAAATAAATGAGGTGAAGGAGAAGGAAAAGAAAACAATTGTAGAATGTAAGAGAGAAGTAGAGAAAACACGCATTCATGAAAAAGGGCAGAAAGAAAAAAAGTAGAGAGTGAGAAAAAGCAATAAAGAAAGATTTGAATGAAAAAAAGAAATGAACGAAAAGGAACAAGAAAACAACAAAATAAAGTAAATGAGAAATAAAGAAAAAAAACGTAGATATCACGAAGTGGTAGAAACGAATAGAAATTAAAGGAAGTGCGAATGGGAAGATGAATGAAGAGGAAGAAAAAGAAGAAATAAAGACGGAAAGAGCGAACAAATCAAGGAAAGAAAGAAAGAAATAGAAATTAAAGGAAGTGGAGAATGGGAAAATGAATGAAGACAGAGAAGGGAGAGAAAAGAAGGAATAAAGTCGGAAAGAGCGAACAAATCTAGGAAAGAAAGAAAGGAATAGAAATTAAAGTAGACGGAGAATGGGAAAATGAATGGAAAGGATTAAAGAACAAATATAGACGGAAAGAGCGAACAAATCAAGGAAAGAAAGAAACGAATAGAAATTGAAGATAAGATGGAAAAAGAAAAAACTTTTGGTTTGATCTGAGGATAGCTTGGAGTGAAAACTGACCAGCGCCCAATCTATAAATACTTTCTTTTTCAGCTATCTGCTTGTAGAAATTACTCTCTCAACTAGTTTGTAACACATTATTTATCATCTCCCAGTTTTGTCTGTCATTGGGCAGAATGCGCTCAGGGTCGGTTCCGTCAGAGTCGCAATTGAGGAAAATTATACTGAGAGGTGCCCATTGCTGGGGAACAGCTGCCCTCTCATTGCACCAGAGATATAGATTAGTGCTTGCACCGAGGCTAGTTTGCGGGGTCTCGTGCAATTTTTCTTCCTAGCCCGGGTTTACGCGCTCGGGATTCCCACATTAAACCGACCTAGTGTGACAGAATTACCTGGTTGGTGGGGGGGGGAGGAGAAAAGATTTCCAACATTGATTTCGTCTTTCTCTTAATATTCTTGTTCTATTACTTCCTTTCTCAAGCGTTCTTTCTTTCACTCTCTTTTTCACTCTCTTTTTCCCAAATCAGGTGTTGGCTGTGAACTGTTACCTGATGTATGTCCTACTATATATCATGGAATGCTGAACAATCTCCTCAGAGATGAAGAAGAGATGTGAAGGAATAGAAATATGGTTCTACAGAAGGATGCTGAGGTTACAATAGACCGAACATGTGAAAAACGACAAAGAGAGGAAACGGAAACAAAAAAGAAACTTCTACTTAACATCAGGGACAGATAAATGAAATCTTTGGGTTTGGTAACGAGGAAAGAGGACTTGGAAACTATGTTACTCACAGGACAGATTGAAGACAAGAGACACAAAAGAAAACAGAGCATAATATACTCGATGAGCTTCATGGATGTACAGTGTTTAGGAGAAACAAAGAAAAGACAACATCTGTTAAGAGTTACAAATGACAAGAAAATGTGGAGAGCCATTACCAACTACGTCCTGAAGTGTCACGGTACATAGAAGAAGAACAATACAAGAAAAATATTTGTGAGTACGTAGATAACTGAAAAGAGGAAATGTTTATAAGTTAAGCGCCAGTCAGTGTTCGGTCCATTGTATCTTCAGGTGGACCGAACATGTGAACAACGACGAGGTGACAACATCTGCGTCTTAGCGGCTTTGCTGCCTTGCTTGAAGTTAGATTATTTAAAAAAAAAAAGCATTTGTCTACAGATGCATGCTTAGGATACCATAGACCGAAAATATGAATAATAACACAGAAAGAAAATGGAAACAAAAAGGAAATTTTTTGATAATGTTTTCTAATGATTTAATTATATAAATCTTACTAATTAACCTATAGCTGGTGGGAAAAAAGATGGATTCATACATTTTGTGAGTAAGTGAATATAGCGAAGCCATCTGAGATTGGAATTCGACTCTCAGATTAGCAATTATGACGCATTATCCATTACACTGCCCGCATACCAGAACAACACATGGTATTCCCAAATGTTCATACATAAAGCTACTGACCAGTATCAAACATGCTTAATTTCGGTGAACGTACAAGAACCGTTTCTCCAACTTGATGTGTCTGTAAGCCGGGGGAAAACAGTAGAGATGTATCTTTGAAAGGCGAGAGAAGAATATATTAAAAATTTTGATGGGAATGAAGGACAAAGCTAGAAGACTTGACGGAAGGAAGAAAAGAAGGAAGGAAGGAAGAAAAGACGGAAGGAAGGAGTTCTCTCTTTCCGACAAATAGGTGCAGTCTTGAAAAGAAATTTGGAGGAAAAAATGAAAAAAATGATATGTTTAAAAGGAGTTACTAAAAGAGCAATAAAGAAGTTAAAGTAGAATATTAAATGTTATGGTCCGGTTCCTTGTACCACGGTGATGGTCCAACGTAGAACCAATAAAGAAGAACTCGAACACAGGTATGGAATAACACAGATATATTACAAACAGGAATATATACAGAGAAGTAGAAAGTGTTAGTACGAACAATCAGGTTTAGTAGGGAGAACAATGTAGTCTCGACCAGTATCACTATTCCAATGTCTTGCAGTAATGTCTGAACGCGACTCTGGTTCGGACTGCCTCTGACTCGACTCTTGACTCGACTGACTGACTCGCTCGCTCTGACTGACTGACAGACCATGACGGCCTTCTGACGGACCTCACTCCAGACTTCAGACTGAACAGTATTTAGTCACCCTCACACACGAGGGCATCATGTGGCACAAGGCCGGTTTAACGTGGGATCTCCGAGCCCGTGGGCTCGGCCAAAAATATGCCCTTTGAACTCGTATAAAAGGGTTCAGGGTCGGTTTACCTCCCCGAAAGAGACTCCGCCCTTCGGCGTAGCCTCGTTCGGGTTCCTCCCCGCCCGAAGGCAGAGAGTTCAACTGATCAGCCGGTGAGCCGGTCGTCCGACTTCGGACTGAACAGTATTATTCACCCCTCCCCACCACCACGAGAGCATCATGTGGCACAAGGCCGGTGTAACGTGGGCCAAAAATATGCCCTTTGAACAGCGACGCGTTGCGAACCCCCATTGTATAATTCTCTTTTTAAACAACTTCTCTCTTTGTGTTTATGTTTTGTTTTTTAAGTCCTTCCTCTACCACGACTGACCAATCTGCCTGATGCTTTCAAAGAAATAGTATTTCCAGACAGATTTAAAAAAAAAAATGGCTAAAGAGCTCCGATCAAGGCATGAGGTGATAAAATTTAACTTCATGCCAGCACAGCTATTGAACAGTTCCTCCTACACAAATTCCGCGCATAAGTTTCGACCAGTTAGACTTTGAATTCTGGCAAAGTGCTCGTAGAGTGGGATCGTCCTTCAAGCCCGATATTATGAAAAAGCCATGTCTGTCACAAACCGGACATTGTGATGTTCGAACCGCTCGACCAAGCGCAAATGCAGAGGAGAAAAGGAAGAAATAATAAAATATGCACGATACAAAACGGTGGAAGAAAGATGTCAAAATATAAACGAAAAAATAAAGAAGAAACGAAAAGAAAGAAGAGGAGAAAAAACAACAAAACCAAAAAAATAAAAAACAAGAATAATTGCAGGATATTAGAAAGAAAGAACGAACGAACGAACGAACGAAAGAAAGAAAGAAAGAAAGAAAGAAAGAAAGGGTAAGGAAATTAGAAGCTTTAACGAGGAGAGAAAATGATGAAAGAAATGTCAAAGATTGAAGAAAAGAGAGAGTGGTCAAGAGAAGAAAAAAGATATTAAAAAAAAGAATAAAAAAAGATGAAAAGAGAAAAAGAAACATTTGATAAATGTGACAAAATGGAAACTGCTTTTTTTTAGTTAACGACGCGTTTCTCACTTGCAAGTCATATTTATTAAAGGAAAGTCTTTGTAACGAGTGCGAAATTCGTAGACAAGTCAATAAAACAGGTTTCAACGATAATTTCAAAAAATATCACAGAAAATGTTTATGTCTATTTGTGCGTGCGTCAGCGTGTAAAAAGTTAGATATAGATAAAATATATAGAGAAATGCAAAATGAATACTTGGACTTAATATATTTATATATATATATATATATATGAGAAGGGAATATTTATTTCTGTACACATGCTACAGTATGAATATATGAAGACAAATGGAAAACATCTCTTTACGAAGTAGTTTCCTTCCACCGTGGATATTTCTCAATGTGAATGTGGGGATTTTATTTTAAAAAGTATATTCATATACAGAAGTAGACGAAAATACTTTTCAGATGTTTTGAAATATTATGAAAAATATGTCAGGTCCTGCAAGACAGGACTGAATTCTGTCAAGACTGAAAAGGGTGGAGTGAGAAGGAAATAGCAACACCTCTCATTTTTAGGTACTCCAATTATATATACATATATATATATATATATATATATATATATATATATATATATAAAATGATTGGTATGGCGTTTACCTCCTGACGTAACTGTTCGGGTTTCAATTCTCGATAGTGGATGCGCACTGCTGATGAGTCCCAAATCTAGGACGAAACGGCAGTCCATTGCTTTCTGCATTCTGTTAATGTTTCTTCTAGACTCAATGAATTGCATAATTATAATTATCTTAGATCCTCGTATATCTTTGCTTGAACCGACGTCTAAGGCTCAGGATGGAGCGGCTTGGGGATCGGTAGCGGATGCACTCTGCTGATGTCCCAAATATAAGTCGAAACGGCCATACAATGCTTTCTGCATTCTGTTGAGGTTTCTTCTAGACTCGGTGAATTACTTAATTATAATTATTTCAAATCCTCCTAATTATTTCTATCTTTATATCCTTGCTTGAACCGGCTTCTAATGCGTAGTCGTAGCTCGTGGAGGCACCGTCCTATAGGTAAAGGGAAACTCGGATGAGTTCCACCACTGAATATGTGATAGAGCGGTGCTCTATCGAGTCTAATTCATTACCACGTCGTCACTGAGGTCCGTTGGTGTTTGCCTCCTGTCATAACTGTTCGGGTTTCAATTCTCAGTAGTGGATGCGTACTAGTGATGAGTCCTAAATATAGGACGAAACGGGCGTTCAGTGCTTTCTGTTGAGGTTTCTTCTAGGGTAATTATATATATATATATATATATATATATATATATATATATATTATACATCGGTAGTACAAGTCTGACTCTACGTTTCATGCACAATGTGTCTAATCATCACCCGATGATAGCATCGTGCATGAAATCCCGTGAGGGGCTCCCGGAGAGACGACAGAACACTGTATGTATTTATCAAATATATATTTATTATTAATATAACATTTAACTCTGTTATTATACATCCGACACTATTTTAATATACTCAGCACCTAATATCTCAATATGCATATATATATATATATATATATATATATATATATATGTGTGTGTGTGTGTGTGTGTGTGTGTGTTTGTGTGTATATATATATATATATATATATATATATATACATATATATTGGATTAATACAGAAATAACATTTGTCACTTAGCTGATTGATGTTATATTCGGCACACTGACTCCAGAAATTTGTAGATGAAATTTTTTGCAATCTTTCGATCTACTCGAAATGAGGTATCACCAATTGTTTGCCGATTTTCACAATCTTTTTTTTTTTTATTTTTATATTAAGTTAAAAACAATTTATGCGCTTTTTATTGGTGTCAAGTTGAATTTTCTTCTTTTTGTTTGTGTCTGTACACGTGTGTATGTATATATGGCTGCATACCTGTACGTTTGTGTATGTTAGTATGTGTAGAATGTAGTCGTTGTATCTCCTTTCATCTTTCTTTATAGATTATTATTCCACTTTTTCCTTCCTTGTTCTCTCTCGTGGTTAGGAGTGTCAGAGATAATGAAATAATGTTATTTTCCGTGTGATAGACAGGATTTATTTTTCAGGCTAATTTTTCTAGAATATTCTGGGCATTTCTTAAGTTTGGGAAACAGTGATGTATTCCGTTTCTTTTATTTATTTCTTGTTTAAATTATAATTCTTTGTTTTGGCTCTGAGTGTCAAAGATAATGAAACAATGTTATTTTCTCTGACATAGGCAAGGTTTATATCGGTGATATAGGAAAATTTAATTTATGCGTTAATTTTTCTAGAATATTCTAGTTTGGAAAAGTTTGGAAAATTCCGTTTTTTTTTTGTTTATTTCTTGTTTAAATGATTTTTTTTAAATGAATGCTTAAATAGTAAAATAAATATTTGTTTGTATTTCTTCACTTAGCAATCGTCTAATTTTTATTATTTTGTAATTAATAGATTTACTGTTTTTTTTTTTAATAGATAGGCGCAAATACACACACACATATATATATACATATATGTGCTTACATATTTCCATATATTATGAAATGGACAAAGCCCGACAAATTATTTTAAGACAATTTTATATTTATAGATTCTGTTTTTATAGATACAAATATTCAAATAAATGCTCTGTTTATATTAAACATTATTAAACAACATTTACCGGCCTGAATGTCTGAGAAATTTTCATAGAAAATATTCGTCCTCTGACAGGTATCGAACCTGTATCCTATACGAAACCGTCATATAGCCTGACGTGATTTTAACCGATTGGGCCACAAAGGAGCGTTCGGTTAGCGAGGTCGATTTTACTGTCTGTAAACTACAATCTGCCATGATTCTCTCGCGTTCATTCATATCTGCTCATGGCGTATCCAAATGTAAACAAATGACGTCACACATTATGAAATGGACAATGTCCCACAATTATTTTAAGACATTTTTATGTTTATACATTCTTTTTATAGATACAAATATTTAAGTAAATGCTCTGTTTATAATAAACAATAGTAAACAATATTTATCAGCCTGAATGAAGGTTCGAGTCCTGCGGAAGACGCATATTTTTTATGACAATTTCTCGGACATTCACTTGTCTTTAAAAAGTCCCTCAGGGGAGGAAACGTGTCGTCTAAGATAAGTTTCCTTTTGGCTTTATTCATATTCCCCTTTTACGCTATCTGCAATGTTTAAACACACGTGGTGCGCGTGTGTATGTGTGTGTGTGCGCATGTATTTGTGTGTGTGTGTCTGTGTGTGTTAGTGTGTGCCTATAAAAGGTACCTAATCAAGATTGAATGATTTTGGCAACGAAGTGCTTGGAAGCAATGCCATGAATTCTAGAGAATAGACAGGGAAAAGGATCTTGCTAAGAATGGAAGGAACATTAACACCAATTTTAGTTGAAGGACAGCCAAAAATAAAAGTAAAGAAAACAGGAAGAAGAAGATTTTCGGAGAAACTCGAAGAAGGAGAAAAAAAGAAAGAATGTTCATTGGGAATGTGACCAAAACGACGCGATAAATGGTAAGAAGGAAGAGACAATTATAGTGAGGAAAAAAATAAACGATTTGTAAGAAGAAAAAGCAGACAATTTACAGGGATATAATTTCTCAGCGAATTTATTCAAACTACGCAGTGATCAAAAATGAACTGAAAGACGTGTCAGGTTTTAATAATTTTTATAATTGGCGAAAATAATCTGGAAATAAATATGAGAGGCAATTGATAATATAATAATTGCAAACCTCTGTTATGCTTAACGGCAACTAAACTCTATGAGATCAAGAATCCTTACAATTTCATCTACGAGACGTAATTTTACAAAGGTTCCAAAATTAATGGACAATAATACATTTTTCACCTTAATAAATTCGTTCAAATTTTAATTACAATTGAATTATTCAAATTGCAATTATCGCCCAAACTATTAAGACGAACTTCTAATACTTTGAGTGATATCGTTTTAAAAGATATATTTATGCTCTTATGGGTACCTCGAGATGGTGTTATGGTTAAAAGGCTTGTCTCGCTAGAACCAATTACGAGTGAGTAGTGAGTTCAATCCTCACTGGCTGCCCCTTACTTTCGGACTTGTGCCACATCTAAGCTACGCTTGGAAAATCGCTATGTTTATGTTCATATTATCTCCCATCGCCAAATTGGTAATGACATGCTTAAGCTATAAGAGCGATTTTCCTTAAAAGTAAAAAAAAACTGACCACAAATTGTATTTCTATTGGGTGGGGCAATTCTTATTTGGCAGAACGTCTCGTTCTATGTCGACTGGTATTAATTTTACCGTTTAAGAAAATAAAAGAAAAAACGGAGATGTAAATTTAGACACGTGTACCTACAATAAAAGCTTTAAATAAATAATAAATAATGTTCTATTTAAGTCCTTAGAATGTTTCCCCTCTCTAATTCCTTACAGAAAATTGCCTGCTCTTGAAAGTATGGTCTCTGATCAAGAGATTGTTGATTTTGAGGAGCGTGGAAACACCATTTAATTGATATTGTTCGACGATTCATACGGACCTCAAGGGTTATCATTTGTTGGGGCTCCAGGTATAGGAAAATTGTGTTTTTAATTTTTGTTTCATAGTCCACAAAATACCAAAATAGAGTATGGTAAAAATACCAGCAAGATATTTAAAAAATGATAACCAATAGTACAGTGAAACCCGGATATAAGAGAGTTGTCGAGACCGGAGAAGAAGTATCTTATATCCGGGTTTCTCTTATATCCGGGTTGGGTCTAATTTATATACATTAACACAGACTCTAATTTGGGACCAGAGAAAATCTCTCTTATATTCGGATTTCTCTTATATCCGGGTCTCTTATATCCGGGTTACACTGTAATACATTTTTTATAGCAAAATGGCAATCAAATATAGCCCTAAACTATAAAAATTCATTTTAATATTAAACTTACCAGCAATATATTTTATCATCTACAAATTATGTATCTAAAAAACATAAGTTTGCCTCTGAAAATATTAAATTATGTACAAAATATCTAGTTGAGATCATAAAATTGCGTGGAAAGTATTTAGACTTCGGAATTACAAAACACATGTAGGTGTCGATATGCCGCTACAAAGAAAACAACTAACTGACAAGAGACAATTTTGTAAATTCTGGGTTTTACTTTGATATTTTCTGTTAGTTACCATATATAATCTATTGAAGTCCTAATTTTGAACCTATTTTTAAGGGAATCAAATAATACACGAGTTATCAAATTAGAGCATGTACTGCTGGCCTTGACTGCTAGATATACATCAACTGTTTAAAAGAAAATTGTTTTTGAAAAAAAACTGAAGTTTTACTTAAATTTACCCAATAACACTCGATATAATATTCGCATGTTAGTAACGGATTATAAAATATAAACATAGCGAATATGAATAATGCCATTGTTTTATTTTATAAAATGTTTATTTGTTTCTTGTTTGGTTGTTTAAGCTTGTACCCGTTTACACAACGGATACAGCCTTACTAACGATACTTTTATCATTCTCTTTTACATTTTTTTAACTCATTTAACCAGAAGATAGAATAAAGAGATCAAGGAAAAGAGAATACTCTATTGTAAATAAGTCTATCCAAAAATGGACACGCATGATTTCCGAAATATCTGATAAAATTAATTTTATAAGGTAAAATTTGAGGGTCGCATAGCTGGGACCATAACAGGTGCTACCCCCGTGGGTCAGTGTGGACCTGGGAACGACAGCAAATAAAAGGTTCAAAGCCTCCAATCACCCGATCAGAGTTTTGCAGCCGGGTGTAGTTTATCGTCATCTCAAGGACTAGAATAATTCTAGGCAAATTATGGAGGATGCTAAGTGACAAAATTTAATGTATGCAATTAATATTT